ATCAAAATTTTAACTAATTCTTAAGGTACTTTGATGAGTACTCAAACTGGTTGCACTGTTATTGATGGTATTTCAATCTTTTAGCTCATTAAAAGAACCCAACATAAAGCTTCCATTCTTATAATCTCTTTCAATTTCCTTTGGTAGAAAAGATTCTCAACTAAAATTCTCAATTGACAATGACTTCTAGTTAAACTGATGCAACCCTTTTACTAGTTAAAATAGGTGCTTAATGATAATAAGTGATAATAAATCAAGTTATTTTACTCATCCATAGCGCACATCTACGTGGTAATTTAATTATTTATGTTTTCTTAAACTCTATTTACTTCGAATACATTTTAAACACACGCGAATATAACATAGGTTGGCAAAAACAACTATCGTAGAAAGTTGGCATTCATTCACTATGTTTACTCCAAACACACCACAAAATCATACCTCCTCTCAAACTCAAATTATATTATAATTTGAAATAACAAAACAAATGAAATTTTCAAAATGAAACCGTCATCACGATTTGTTTGAGGGGAAATCAAATCTTTATTATTTAGATTACATGGTCATGATGTACATAAGTTGTGAAAAATGAAAATCATTGTTGGCAAATAAAACAAAAACAAAAATCAAAATCATTACAAGTAAAGTGTTTCTTAAAAAAATATTGGGAAAGCAAAAAGTACACAAACATTTAAATGTCTAAAAAATCTATAAACATATATTTTTTTTATGATCAAGTCTTCTAATACTTCTAAGTCTTCTCTTCTTTTAGAGGAAAAATTGGAATATTAATGCATTCATTCTCATATCATTTTCCATTACACAAATATTTAAATGTCTAAAAAATCTATAACTATATTTTTTTTTATGGTCAGATCTTCTAAAACTTCCAAGTCTTCCCATCATTTACAGGAAAAATTGGAATATTAATGCATTCATTTTCATATCATTTTTCATTACACAAACATTTAAATGTCTAAAAAATCTATAGCCATATTTTTTTTTTTATGGTCAAGTCTTCTAATGCTTCCAACTCTTCCCATCTTTTAGAGGAATGAATATTAATGCATTCATTTCATATCATTTTCCATTACACAAACATTTAAATGTTTAAAAAATCTATAGCCATGTATATTTTTTTTTATGGTCAAGTCTTCTAATACTTCCAAGTCTTCCCATCTTTTAAAAAAAAAATTGGAATATTAATGCATTCATTTTTATATCATTTTTCATTACACAAACATTTAAATGTCTAAAAAATCTATAACCATATTTTTTTATGGTCAAGTTTTCTAATACTTGCAAGTCTTCCCATTTTTTAGCGGAAAAATTGGAATATTAATGCATTCATTTTCATATCATTTTCCCTTATCCAAACATTTAAATGTCTAAAAAACCTATAACCATATTTTTTTTTTTATAGTCGAGTTTTCGAATACTTCCAAGTCTTCGCATTTTTTAGAAGAAAAATTAGAATATTAATACATTCATTTTTCATATCATTTTCCATTCTTATCTTCTTTTCCAATTTCTACAACCAAATTGTAAGGAATAAATTAGAGGATTTTTTTTTTTCATTCAATTAGATGTTTTCTGGGAATGCAACTTTTAGCTTTTAAATTAAGAAAAATATCCTATAAATTATCATTTAAACTTTTTATGTTCAGTTCATATTATAACAACGAGGTGTTTCAACATGTTTAAAAGTGCTTTCTAAAAGCACATTTTCATAAATTGAGATAAACTTCTGCACATATCTATTTTGTACACTATAAGATCATTCTTAAAATCATGATTTGATTTCATCCAAACATCCCATTTTAAGATGTTTAGTTTGCGAATAATCTTGAAACGACATGTGATGCTTTATGGCAACCAGAAATATTGATAAAGACATTGTCCCATTCAAGACACTAATGTAAAGTCTTCTCCCAAAATATACTCATATTCAGTCTCCACTGATTAATAAAAATATTGGAAAAATCAAACGTACACAAACATTTATATGGCTAAAAAATCTATAACTATATATGAGCAAGTCTTCTAATACTTCCAAAGTCTTCCCATCTTTTTGATCAAGAAAAATTTGGAATATTAATATATTCATCTTCATATCATTTTCCAATTTCTAGCCACAACCAAATCGTTTAAGCACCTTCAAAAGATACCAGACGCATAAGCAATAATTTAATTTTTTTTTTCCATTCAATAAGAGGTTTTCTATGAATACAACTTTTAGCTTTTAAAATAAGAAAAATATCCTATAAATTATTATTTAGACTTTTTATGTTCTGTTCATATTGTCACAACATCAATGACATGTTACAGAGAAACAGCACACAATCATATAAATCTTGAAACGATCGTTTTGGTGATGGTTTTTCTTCGCTCTATGTTTTTTTTAATAGTTTTGGTGATGTTTTTAATCCCAAACAAGAATGTTTGCAAATAATTCATACATAAATCAAATATATTTTTTTATTTTAGCCTTGAAATGATCAAATCAATGCACTGCCTCATTTCTTGATATAAAAGTTAGATAATTAATTTATAAATATTAAGAAAATTAGTTTAATTATTTGTAATAAATAAATATATATTGTTTTTCCTAAAATACTATTACTAATCATATATGTATTGAAAATATAATTTGATAGAAATCCCTTAGATGTGCAATGATTATAAGGTTATTTGAGAGCAAAATGAATAAATTTTTAATCTAAATTAAATTTTTAACTAATTCTTAAGGTACTTTGATGAGTACTCAATTTGGTTGCACTGTTATTGACGGTATTTCAATCTTTTAGCTCATTAATGGAACCCAACATAAAACCTCCATTCTTATCATCTCTTTCAATTTCCTTGGGTAGAAGAGATTCTCAACTAAGATTCTCAACTGCAGGTGACCCCTAGTTAAACTGATGCAACTCTTTTATCACTTAAAACAGGTGCTCATTGATAATAAGTGATAATAAATCAAGTTATTTTACTCATCCATAGCATGCGACTACTTTAGAAGGAAGGGAAGTAATGTAATATATTGTGATAGTAATTGAAACAACAGATTCTCTTAAGTACATCACCAATTCATCATAGCTCATTGGAGCAACTTTGGAAAATATTTAACAATGCATTTGAATTATTTTATGATGATTTCTCTAACATGCACATCACCAAATGTCTCTGATTTAAAGACCCATTGATGACACTCGTCTTGGAGTTCCTTTTTTTTTTTAAAAGAAAAAAATCATTCGCGCCTTTTGAAAGAGGCACTACATCCAGTTACCCAATATTTGGTGATCCAAAATCACAATTCAAAGTTCTATTTTGTTATGTGAGTTAGAGCCCATGTATGTTGGTTCTTGACACAAACAAAAAAGAAAAAAAAAACCAATATTGGTTAAGCCTCTCTTACATGACAAACATTTAAATTCCTATTCACATTTAAAATTTGACAATACCTCAAATATAATTGCTGGGGGGGAAGAGAAGAGGGAAAAAGTTAATACACGAGCAAATTAAAGAAATTTTGAAGGGGGAAAACTAACGGGTCCTGTCTTAGAAAGGCGATATTAAGTTGCACCACTAGTAACGCCGGAGGTCTAACTTAAAAACCTCAAAGACAAACCGTCCTCGTTTCACTGCAAAGGACTCAAATTACAATAAATTTCAATATTTAAACTCACCTACTCTAGAAATGATTTATGAGACCCGATAACCATTTTGGGGGGGGGGGGAACTAGATTAATAGCAAAAAAAAACAAACATTTTTTGTTCACAACATGTGAATAACATGACTTGCTAAGTTGCTATAAACCTCATATCATATGTTGATCTTTGATACATCAATGTCTCTGTTCTTTCTTTCGAACAGCATATGACAAACTGGAATAGAGCGACTAAAATGTCAGAGAGATGACACTTGTACAATAAATCCGATAATCTATTTAAAATCAGAAACCCGTTGCAATCTTGTCATTCCATGAGATTTTGTTCGGTGACAACTGGGAAATAGAGAGTAGTGTCATTCTACAAGATTAACCATTGACAGAAGCACTAAATCAAGTTACTCAATATTTGGTGATTCTACACAAACACAACTCAAAATTCTACTTTGTTATGTGATTTTCTCTTTTGGGGTTATGTGATTTGTTTTTGTTTTTTTTTGTAGCGGGAGAACAAAAGCAGGCCCGGAATGTTGGTTCTCTAAAATCATTTTCTACCTAAAGAATCAAACATCTTGATGCCTTTACACAAACAGAAAAGAGGGAAAAAGTTAATATATGAGCAAATTAAAGAAATTTTTAAGGGGTTGGCCAAAAAAAGGAAATCTTGAGGGAACAGAAACTAATGGATTCTGTCTTAGGAAGGCAATGTTAACTAAGTTGCTCCACTGTTAATGCTGGAGGTCCAGGGGTTGTCCAAGCATTCAAAAACCTTGAAAACCTTAAAAACCTTAAAATGTCCTCGTTTCATTGCAAGAGACCAAATTACAGTAAATTTCCAGATTTAAAGTTACCTACTCTATGAATTATTTATAAAACTCGATAACCATTGTGAAAGGGGAAAAGGGGAAAGAAAACTAGATAAATATTAAATAGCAAAGGACAAACATTTTTTTGGGTCCTTTGGTATCGAGAGAGTATCCATCCTTGTAGTATCAAAACCACATCATAACGGTATCAGCTCACACATCTTAAGGGTCCGCCGAGGCAAAGAAAATCAGATAACGAAAACCAACATCCACTCAACACGTAAACCAAATGGTTTCTTCATGAAATTTTCACGCCAAAACAAAAAAGTCCAATGAAACTCTCATGATCATTGAGAAGAAGGCATCCGAGTTCTGCACCAAAGAAAACAGATCGTACAAACTTTATGCCACATTCAATTATTAACTGAAAAGTTAGCTTTTCCATTTTCAACCAAAGAAAGAATTCAATAATGGCCTAAAGATGATAGAATTGAATACAAACAAAAAGGATAGACCACCCCAAAAAAGTACAAGCCCCAATGTCAAACGCAACAACTCTTCTCCAGGTGACTCCAGTAGAGATTCCAACATAAATAGACGGATTTTTCTAGACATCAAACATAGTATAACATGTGAAAAACATGACTTGCTAAGTTGCTATAAATTATATGTATGTTGATCTTTGAGATTATTGTAAACATATTTCAAACAGGTTGTATAGAATAACTAAGATATGTATGATATAATATACCTCTGTTTTTCCGACCAGCATATGGCAAACTGGAACAGAGCGACAAAATGTCAGAGAGATGACAAGTGTACAATAAATCCAATAATCTATTTAAAATCAGAAACCCTTTCCAATCCTGTCATTCTATAAGATTTTGTTCAGTGACAACTGGGAAATACTAAAATAGAGAGTAGTGTCATTCTGCAAGATTAACCATTGGCTTAGCGACATATGATCTTTCCCTAGGGAGGCGCTTTATAAAGGTAAACTGTTAGAGTGCTTGACTGCCTTAAATGTCACAAACCTACATAAAGAGAAGCGAGATCCAACATCCAAGATTCCTACAAAAATAGAATTGTAACCAATTACAAGCATTTTAAATGTAGGAAATGGAGTTGTACTTGGGCAAAAGCCTCAAGCAACTTCCATAAGTTGTTGCCAATTTGTGCCGTTTCTTTGTCAGATGGAATAACTAAATCTTATGTGCCAGGGCAACACATCCCAATGTATTATCTAGAACACTGAAAATGAAAGATGTTAGTGCCCAAATTCCCCCCCCCCCGATAATTCCAATGCCAATGTCTTCTTATCAAGGAGAGTAATTGTCTAATTGATAAATCAAACTAAAAGTAGAACATAGCACCTAAATAACATGTCAAAGAAGCAAGTGAAGCGGTTAGCTCGAAACCAACAAACACAAAATGTAATTTTCAAGTGCATGTAGGACCAAACTCTCAACTGAAAGAATATTGAATTCTGTTCTCAACATTCTCTTACCAATTGCAGCATTAACTTCAGTATTGACGCCGTTGTTTATAACAATATGAACACCAATCATAATTACGTTAAAATGTCTTCCTTTAGTATATTCTATATCAATCATGCTTTAATTAATCAGAAGCCAGAAACACAACCTTCTATTGAGTAGTATTCGCAAGTTAATCATAAGCAGTGTAAATAAATTTTATAACAGCTAACAAGCAAAAAGGGATAACCAAAAAATAGGAACTTTAATGATATACTTAAAACAAAATCTGCTGGAGGACACGAGAAGAAAAAACATACAACATTACACCGATGTCCATCAAGGAGGAGAATCTAGAACCAAGGACACTTCTCTACTCAGCAGAAGCAGGCTTCTTAACTCTTTTAGCTTTTACTTTCACTTCTCCGCTTTCCTTCTTCTTCTTCTTGCCAGAAACTTCATCCTTCGTAGGTAAATCATTTTCCTTCTTTCTCTTAGAAGACAAGCCATCTTTCTTACTTTTGTCCTTGTTCTTGGCTGCCTTCTTCAATTTTTTCTCACTATTCAGCTCACTAAGAACCTCTTTGTCAGTTTTTGATCCTTTCCTTTTTTTCTCATCTAGAACTAGTTCAATAGTCATTTCATCATTCTCATCACCTTCTTCTACATCCCCATCTTCTTCAACGCCTGACTCATCTTGAATGAGTTCATGACCGATAGTATCATCCATGTACCGAACCTCATGGATCCTCCCCTTCTTCTTACCAACTTTAAGACCCTTCTTAGCCACCTCCTTCTTCTTATCTTGCACATACTTATCCTCTTCCTTAGCTTCCTCTTTTCTCTTAGCTCCCTCAATCTTCAATTTAATATCAGGAATTACCTGATAGAGCAGCAGCGCAAGCGAATCCAACAATTTCAAATGTAACGACCGCACAGAACCCCACCCTTTCGGCATGAGCTCCACGATCCCATTGATTGCCGCAGCCACATTGGCAACAATCTCGTCCTTTTCCATTGACACTTTGGCAACTCTCACCACACTACACGTACCTGTCCTGAGGAACAAGAACGCCGACGAGCATGCCCTCTCACCACACTACACGTAATTGTAGATTCCTTAAGGGAAGATAATGTTGCAATAATTCGCATTCAATCACCACTTAAAGGATATTCTATTGAAAAAGAAACTGGCATAAGTATACAAACGTATTCTGATAAATCATTATTACAAGCTCTTATTTTGTCACCATATCACTAAATGTAAGATAAACAAAGAACATTAATTAGAAGGAAACATTAGAGCCCTTAGCCAAATGTTGTAACTGCAGCAAAGTAACCTAGCTATTCCCTGAAGCAAAATATGAGACTTGAATTTGAGACAGAGGCATTGGAAAAGTATTAGATATATAGATCAAATCTGTCTTCAAGGATGTTGCACCCACTGCTTGATCTGCTGCACTTGATCCCGTAGACAAAACATATCGACCAATAAACAACATAAAAGAAAGAAAAAGAGCCAGATCAGAACTAAATTTGTTTTAACTAAAAGAAGAAAAAGAAAGATAAATGATCATGCAAATCAAAGAGACGATAACTTCTGAAATATGTGATAGCTATAATCCATTACATACCTCAACAACAATTTTAAGTTGTTCCAAATATTGGATGGAAACTCTTAAGCATGAGGGCCACATGGACATAAAGTCGGTCGACCAAACTGTCAAATGATTGGAAAAATCTCTGTCCCCATGGTCTGATGAGGAAGAGAGAACCACAAACTACCCAGAAGCCTACTGCAAATCCCACTCCCATCCCAAGATACAATGACTTCAAAAAGCTGTCATCTTCGTTCCCTTCAACCAACTTTGGGTTGTGAGCTTCTTTCTTGTTGCACTTTATTGGAAGAGGAACCCCACAAAGTTGAGGATTGCCAACAAAACTCCAAGATTCAGAAGTCTGAATTTGAGTCCCTAAAGGGATTTGTCCAATGAAATTGTTGTATGAGAGGTTCAAAACTTCAAGAAATGATATATCAGAGATGGTTGGAGGAATTTCCCCGTAAAGCCTGTTGTAGCTGAGATCAAGAGATTCCATGTTTTTCAGATCTCCAATTTCGCTGGAAATCATTCCAGTCAAATGGTTTCGAGACAAGTTCAAGGACCACAATAGAGTCAAGTTAAACAACCCCTTCGGAATTTCTCCTGATAAATTGTTGGAAGAAAAGTCAACAATGTACCTTGACAATAAATCAGGGTAATTTAATTCCCTTCCCTTAGAAAATAAATTTGTTTCCTTATACAAATTAAAAAAAGGTCCATAAAGTTCTAGGATCAAACTGCATGATGTTATACAAGCATTGTGGTATGGATCCTGAGAGCTTATTATCAGCAAGATCAATTGCCATTAGAGAAGACATGTGGCACAGCTGTGTTGGAATATTGCCAATAAATTGGTTGGCCCTTACTTTGAAAACCACCAAATTTTGTTGCATTGTATTTGGCAAACCTCCTGAAAATTTATTTCGCTCAAGCGCGAGGTATTCTAAATTTGTCCAGTGTGATAAGTTTAACGAAAAGTTTCCAGAGAAACCATTATCACACAGAGACAACAAATGAAGATTTGTTAATAGAGCCATTGAAGGAGGAAGTTCACCATATAGATTATTACCCCTCAAATTAAGGTAAACTAATTGTTTCCAACTGGCCCAGCAATCAGGGAGTGATCCACTTAAATTATTATGTGATATATCCAAAATAGACAGCATGTTTTCAGCCCTATTACTCTCTCTGGGGCATAGGAACGCAGAAATGGATCCTGAGAACGAGTTATGAGAAGCTTGAATGTACATAACATTTGCTGATATGTGAGGGAGGCCTCCGGTAAAATTGTTATAGTCCAAACGTATATCTCTTGAGTGAAGTGTCACATTGGATATGTCTCCACTGATGAAGTTGTTTGATAGGTCAACTTCATCAATTCTTGCTGTGAAGCCCCACAATATATCTGCATCAATGTTTGAAATCTCTGATCTAGAGATTGGAGCCTTTCTAAAGACCTTTGCGTATATAGCCATGTTGGAAAATTAGGACCTAAGCTTGTATTTGCTGAAGAGAAGTATTTGAGTTGAAATGGTGGCACCCAGTTAGGATCAAAGTCAAATTTAAAACTAGTTGAACTCAAAGCTAGTGATGCTAAGCTTGATAGGTTGGCAAAGTTCTTTTCTGAAAGGACCCCTGACCAAGAATTGCCTTCAATACTTAAAAGATTTTAAGTTAAGAAGCTTTCCAAGGCTTTTGGGAAGATTTCCTCTGAAATGATTGTTAGACAAATCTAAGGAAATCAAGGAAGAAAGGTTTCCAAGACATGATGGAATAGAACCATTCAACTGATTAAGATAGATTTCAAAATGCTGCAACTGTTCATGTTGGCAAATCCAATCAGGAATTGATCCTTCAAGATCATTTAAACTCAAATTTAAATGCTTGAGGTTTTGAAGATGGTGCAAGGCTTTTGGTAATTGACCATAGAAATTGCATCCCAAAAGGTCGAGGTGATAGATGTTGCTGGTAATATTAAAGAATGAATTAGGTATTGAGTTGATACAGTTGAAAGAAAGATCAAGAACTTCAAGTGATGTAAAATTGATATAATCAAGGGAAGGAAAATCTGAGTCCACAACCCCTCAAGTGTAACACAGAGAGTGAAGGAAGCATGGATATATGGTGGGGCCATTTGTTTTCATTTCCAATATCACTGTTAGTGAGGTCAAGATATTTCAAGGAAGAAAGTTGAGAAAGCCAATGAAGGTCATTGATGACTAAACCATTAACTGAAAAGTCAAGATAACGTAGAGCAACAGAAAAGCATGCTGACTGATTGAAGGGGTAGGAAGTGATTGGTTGTGAAATTTGTGAGCATCAAAAGGAGATTTGGAGATTTGGCATGGTGGCATACTCACAGTTTTGAAGTCATTGTGGCTCAGGTCCAAGTGGTTGAGGAATTCAAGTTGAAGCACACACAGATTAATGTCACCTCGCAATGTATGATTGAAAAGAGAAAGCTCTGTGACTCTTCCGGTCATGTTGTTGCAGTGAACTCCCTCCCATAAACAGCAATCTTCTTCGGTAGTCCAAGAAGAGAGTTGGTTGTTTGATCAACCACTCCTTGTTTGAAGATTAAAAGCAGCCTTTCATCACTTTCATTGCAACTGATCACCTGTTGAATGTTGTTGTAAATAGCAGAAACAACAAAACAGAGGAAATTTGTGAAGCGAAGCTAGCCATTGTGGTAAGTTCGAGAATAGTGGCCTCAACGTGAGAAGTCTTTGCATCATATGTATATATATTGGAAAATCAGAAACTACGTGGTATATCCGCTGCACGTCCCCTCATTCTCCTTTAAATTTATGGAAAAAAAATATTATTTATGAAGCATGAGGCTTATACTGAATTTTGCAATATGTCTAATATGATGGGTAAGGGAGAAGTGAAGCATTGTGTGGCGTGTTGCAAGTGGGAAAGGGAGACTGATCGGCTTAGCCGCCGTTTGTCTTTGGTCCTCCCTTTCCCACAGCTTCCCTCTTCCGTCCCACGTGTTTCGCTCTGTTTTTTTCCTGACAACACGTGATTTAATGGCAATAAATAAAAATGGAGACAACCCACTCCACAAGCATACTAATTAGAATTTTGTATAAATGTATATATTCCGGTGTAAACATACATATAATTTCTTTAAATTATATTAATTTTAATAATATATCTTAAAATATTTTTTCAGTAATGCCCTGTATACTGGAATAAATTTTTTTGGTACAATCAATATTATACAATATTTTTTTAATAGTGGTTAGTGTTCCAAAAATACACTTAGCACACTGTGTTACTGAAACCTAAAATTATTTTAAGATACTAAATGTTTCTAGAAAAATCTTTCAGGGTGCTGACTAGAGCCAAAAATTAATTTAAGATACTGGGTGCTCTTGAAAGAAATATTTGAGATTGGTGACTATATTTTTAGGATATTAGGTGTTACTGAAAAAATAACTTATGGTGCTGCCAAAAATTATTTTAAAAAAGTGAGTGCTCTTGAAAAATATTTTAGTGTGGCAATTGTATTTTAGGATGGGATACTGAGTGTTATTAGAAACATAATACTTTTTTTTTTTTCCATGAAGAGATTAGGTAGGGAATGTAAAATTTTTATACCATTCAATAGTAATATTAATGCCCCTCGCAGTGCAGAAACAGGCAAATGACTCTGCCTCAATAACCAAGGCATGACTCTGTTATTCCAAACGGCATAAACCAAAATGGAACAGAGCAATCACGTGGAACACCATTCGTCAGAAGTTTCTTGCTATCTACTCCGCTTGATACTTAACATAAGAATTTAATTTAATTTTTAATTTAATCTTAAATATAAGATTCCAATTCACTTCATCTTTATGTTTATCTCTTTTTTTAAAAAAATAGTTCTTGTAATAGTTGTACATGTTAAATGTTCTATCAAATAGTAGTTCTAACTAATACACATAATTAATAATAATATTTTAGGGAAGATAATAATAGTATTTTTGAGAAGATAACACCTCTTTATAACAAATAAGTAACTTAACTAATTTTCTTGATTTATTCAAATTAATCAATCAACTTTTACATTAAAAATTAGGTCATGTACAAGTAGAGTACTGACGAAGTGCACAAGACTCTCAATCTCTCATAAGGTGGAGTCTGAGAAGGGACATAGCTAATGAGAAGGAACGAGGCTTGTTAGTTTAGCACTGGGGAATATAATACTCCTTCGGTCTTTAATGTAAGACCTATTTAACTAGTTTAATTAAATTAAAAAATTTAGGTAAGTTAGTTAATTATAAGAAACATGACATATTTTCTTAAAACACTATAATCATCTTTTTTAATATTTTTCTTCCTCTTTTACTTGATTATGATTGAGAGAGTATCCATATAGTTAATTTAAAAAAACTGATAATATAAAAATATGTTTTATATTTAGAATCAAAATCAACTTAATAATTATGTCTTATATTAAAGACCGAAGGAGTACAAGCTTATATAATTTGCT